CAGAGAGATAGATTTATCCATTTAGCCCCTATGCTCACTAATGAGGCCCAGGTTCAAGAGTAATTTGGGCCATAGACATGTCTAGGGTATGTCTACCCAAGGAGTACACAAGGCTTTCCAAGGGCTGTGTGGCAGGGCACTGAGAGTATGTTTTGCCTCTGGAGGATAGATTTTAACTGACCTATTTTAAAGTCAGTCCCTGGAAAAACCCCTGGTAATTTGAGCCAAATTCCATGCACTCCAACTTGCAGTTGTAGGTCATAAGACCTTGTTTTGCTTTGTTTTGTTTTGTTTTGTTTTAATTAACTTATATTGTATTATTTGTTTAGGAGTACAGGTCTGGGATTCATCAGTCTTTCACAATTCACAACGCTCACCATAGCACATACCCTCACCAATGTCCATCACCCAGCCACCCTATTCCTCCTACCCCTCTCCCCTCCAGCAACCCTTAGTTTGTTTCCTGAGATTAAGAGTCTCTTATGGTTTGTCTTCCTCTCTGGTTTCTTCTTGTTTCATGGAGCACAATGAAAGTTTTAAGAGAATGCATTCAGGATCTTAGATTTCCTAAATCAGTCTGCCTGAGAAGGTGCTCGAAATTAAATTGTAATTCTGGTTCTCCTTTCGGACGGTTCCCACTTTCTAAGTTGTCCAGGAAATAATTTACCTTTACTTTCATTGTCGTTCACACCATCCAACTATTCTCAAAAAAAAAAAAAAAGGGCTTCTCTTGGAAGGGGGCCCCACAAAAGGAAGCAGAATCATATATTTGTAATAAATTCATGGCAAAGCGATGCCTTCTCTATCTTGGAATTAGAGAGAGAGAGAAAGAAAGAGGTGTCTTCTGGCAGAGGACAATGTGATTTGGCCTATTAAAATAAACAGCATTCAGTTTTACCTACCTTTCTGGCTCTATTGGGTTAAACTACGTGCTTCTAAGTAAAAGAGAAACGTATCTTTAATAGTCATTTGATAAGACCTGGTAAAATGTTAGCAGTATACTATCCAGATATTGTGAAATTGAATAAATTTAATACTGAGTTACAAAGCCTTTTGCAAGTCAGGTATTTTTCAATTCATTGCTTTGAAAGAAATTGAAGGAGGAACTAATTGAATTGTCAGCTGTGAGATCATTAAAATAATTTTTGAAGCTGTATTACTGTATGATTGTTGGCACACATCTTGGAAGGGGTTCAAAGAATTGAGTGGCACTGCTATACAAGATTCTCCCTTGCTTATGTGAACTAGGTTTTTCTCAAACAAAAATTGGAATCAAATGGGTCCTGAGCTCTATCTCATTCTAGCAGCAATGGTATTTATTCAAGGTACAATTTTAAAAAGCTTCATCTACCCCATTAAGTACTAGATTTCCAGTAAAACTTTACTTTTTATGTTTAATTATACTTAAAAACATGGACAATATATTTATATTGTTTTATCGATATTGTCCTTGTAATGATAACTCATTCTAAAAGAAGATAGTATTACTCAGAGCTTTATGATCACAGGACATAAAAGAAATCTCAATTTCAATCTCTCTCTATATATTTGCAAATAAATATGAGAGCTAATCAATAGAAGATTTTTAAGCCTGAAATACTACATCAAGATAAAATCCTACAGAGGACATATTGGAAACACAAAAGTTAAGGTTTTAAAAAGGAACAATGCACATTTTATGACTAATTAAGAAGAGCTTGTTCATAAATTTTGAAACTAGATAATCAAATCACTATTGCATTTTAATTTTATTGAAAAAAAAATGGATATATAAAGGAATATTGTGACAGTTTAACTTTAAATCTGAATATTCTCCACAGGCCAGTAATGTATCCTTTTAATTTAGATTTTAAAAATTATATGAACTTAAAACTGTGAAAGAGGTTACATAATTTACCAAAATGAAAGCAACAATATTTGTTTGTACCTTGTCACCAGAGTTTGTGTGGTCCTGAGGATTAGAAGGTGACTCTCTTTACTCTGTCCCAATTTACCATCCACTTCTAAGCTTGCCAGATCCTGGCATTGCACAATTAGAACTTCATTGTTAGGAGTTACTCAAACAGGGATTTGGTGTTTATGAAAACACAGCTATCATAAAGAAAGGTTGCACACTAACCCTTATCAATCATTTGCAACTGAGAGTAAGTGAATGAACTTATCTTTTTTTTTTTTTTTTGGTTCCTGCTAATAAATGCTTTTGGAAATGTAGAGTGGGGAAGTTTCTTTAAGGCTTTTTGATCTTCATAAAGGAAATAGAAAGTTGCTAGAGAAGGAAAAAAACTACATAGAGACTGAAGCTAGAGTTGCAGGATATGGAGAAAACAGCATGGCTTCATTTTTTTTTTTTTTTTTAAATCACCATGACACACCTGTGAAGGTGGCAGTCACTCAATAATACTTGAATTATCATATTCTAATGGCAAATAAGGTTGGCCCCAAAACTACTGGTGTTCAGAGATGTCTTGTGTGAAGTTAAAAAGCAAAGAGACAAACAAACAAACTGATTCTAGGAATGTTAGTGTATGATTCTATTTTAGGTAAATAATTCAACACAGCCTTTACATATGTGAATATATGTATGTAAGGAGTGAGATATGGAAGAAGTAGCCAGAATGTTACCAAATTAAGGGCCTCATTTGTTAACATGTTTAATCATGCTTACTACATTTTTGTAGTTTGAAAGACAGCAAATAAAAGTTAGAAGAGAAAAATTTCTTCTTGTCCTTCGAAAGTATCTAATTATCAGCCTAACCCCAAGGTTGCCAGGACCTGCTGACTGACAGGTGGACTTATGCATAATATTTCTGTGATTGGAAGCTAGTATTATTTCTGTGTGCCATACCAACCAGGGAGAGTATTTTGCTAAACTGAGTGCTATCCCCTTTCTCTTCTTCTTCTTCTTTTTTTTTAAGATTTTATTTTATTTATTTGACAGAGATTGACATGGGAGAGAGGGAACACAAGCAGGGGGAGTAGGAGAGGGAGAAGCAAGCTTCTTGATGAACAGGGAGCCCGACGTGGGGCTTGATCCCAGGATCCTGGGATCATGGCCTGAGCCAAAGGCAGCCACCAAATGACTGAGCCACCCAGGTGGTTCACACTTTTCCTCTTTCAACAGAAATTGTTATTTTAGTGCTTCAGTATTATTCTGCTCATGTGGCCATTCAGGATGACCACATTGTTAAGGGAAAACAGTAGGTTCAAATGTGCTTGATCTCTCCTTTATTGCCAGTGTCCTTGGTGCTCTCATCCCCTGAGCCTTGTCAGAAGGCTCTCTGCTTTCAGTCAAAATGGGATCAGAGGGACGCCTGGGTGGCTCAGTGGATTAAGCCTCTGCCTTCGGCTCAGGTCATGATCTCAGGGGCCTGGGATCAAGGCCAGCACAGGGCTTTCTGCTCAGCAAGGAGCCTGCTTCCTCCTCTCTTTCTCTGCCTGCCTCTCTGCCTACTTGTGATCTCTCTCTCTGTCAAATAAATAAAATCTTTTTTAAAAAAAAGGAATCAGATTTGGTGAGATATGGCAATGTTTTTTTCTGTTTTCTCACGTGGAGGTGCTGGATTCATGTTCCTTGTGCCCTAAGGTGGGCCTCATACCTCTTTGCTAGGATGTCTGCAGAGAGTGGCACAGGTATAATTGTACTTTCCTATTTGCCCAGATACTGCAACTCAGGTTCAGACTAAAGCAACAAGTGGCAGGTGGGCATATCTAGGGCCTTTAACTACACCCATCTTTGCAATCCACATTTATAAGGGATTCCCTTCTATTTTCCTTTTCTTTCTCTCTTTCTCTTTCTTTCCTTTCCTTTCCTTTTTCTTTTCTTTTCTTTGTTTCTTTCTTTCTTTTTTTTTTTTTTAAGAGAGAGAGACAGTGAGCAGTGGGGACAGGCAGAAGTACTAAGCAAGCTCCATGCCCAGCACAGAGCCCCATGGGGGGATCAATCTTATTACCCTGAGATTATGACCTGAGCTGAAACCAAGAATCAGACACTTAACCTATTGAGTCACCCAGCTGCCCCTCTTTTCTTTTCTTTTTTTTTTTCTTTTCTTTTCTTTCCTTTTCTTTTCACAGATTATAGGATCATGATGCACATATGCAAACTTTCTTTCTGACCAGCAGGTGTATTTGTTTCTGCATTAAACTTGAAAGACTGCAAGTCATATACCACCAAAAAAGAAATTCCATAGTTTCCAGTTGTAGGGAAGAATGGATGTGAGGTTATGAGGGAATAGAGGTTAGCTCTTTACCCTGATGATGTCCAAGGTGACATCAGCTATATTATTCTCTTGGAGGGGGGTAAGAGGGAAAAGGAACACTAACTGACCACTTTCTTATTCTTTCTGCTGACATTTTTAGAGGTAGCCCTGACTTCCTCAAAAATTGTTGGGTTTCTAAGGTGAATTTTATCAATCCGTGTTATAAATCGTAGTTTGCAGACTTTGGGTAGCTTAGGGGTACAAGGAGATTATGGATACCAGGGAGGGTTGGCAGTAAATATGTTCACTTTTTGACTAACAGCAGGTTAGGTATTTGCTTTTTGGATTATCTGTGACCTTATTTGAAATACTGATCTACTTTTCTCTCCCCTATGCCCCTGGGCCACCTCTCCCACAATGTGGTAAATGTACTCAAGAAATATAAACTAATTTTCATATAAGCCTAGGGGGAAAAATAAGATGGAAAGCAAATATACAGCAAAGATATTCACATAATATGTTCCTAAATCAAATAGGAATGATTTTATATCATCAGTTCTTCAAGATGATTCAGGCCACTGTTACCCTATATTTAGGAGGTTTCATCAATAATTGATTGTTTCTTTTAACATTGGGTTATGTTGTTTCATTTAGTCTTCAAAAAATAGCAACGACATTTCTAATACAATCTCTCAACACTCTCTTCCTCCCTCCCCACTTCCCTTTCTCAATGTTTCCCTTCCCCTTTTCCTCCCCTCTTCCCCCACACCCCTCCTCTCCTTTCTCCACACCCCTCACTTACAGGTGTACCATAGATGACCGAGTAACCCGGGTGGCCTGGCTAAACCGTAGCACCATCCTCTATGCTGGGAATGACAAGTGGTCCATAGACCCTCGTGTGATCATCCTGGTCAACACTCCAACCCAGTACAGCATCATGATCCAGAACGTGGATGTGTATGATGAAGGCCCGTACACCTGCTCTGTGCAGACAGACAACCACCCTAAAACTTCCCGGGTCCACCTCATAGTGCAAGGTGAGTCACAGCTAGATCTGGGGGTTAGAGTTCCTGTCAACGATGGAAGGGAAGCATAATCTCATACTTGGCTTTTACTCATGTGTGAAGACATGAAAAACATTTTCCTCTATGGATCCCCAAGATTGAGTGTTATGTTTTGGATTCCTTCCCATCTGCTGGGTTCTTGACTAAGTACTGAATATCTTCACAGTTTCTCAATTTTATCTCTGGTCCTTCTGTTCTTATTAATAAGTTGCTTGGCATGTGCTGGTTAAACTTTATTAAGTTATTTAGTACTCTGGAGTTGGACAAGAAATACTAAAAAATAGAGTCATTACTATTCTCTGTGCCTTTTAATTAGCTTTCATAAGATTATTTAATAATAAGAGGTTAATAACATTGATGTGAAGTTATGTGCCTTGTGACTGGTTTTCAGATGGTTGTTGGGTGTGCATGTTCCAAAAGGGGTTCTGGGTGCTGTGGTAAAGTCCTCCCTGGCATGGACGCTGGATCTTTGCATCTCTTTAGCCTCACAATGGAGCTGAGATTAGGAAGGATATTAGTCAAAATGCTATCTCCAGGTCAGTGTCAGAAATACATTAATATAATTTTTTGAAAGGGGAGATGTTTTCTAACATTCTCCTGCATTCTCCCTTTAAAAAAATCTGTGTCAGTGGACCCAAGCATATTATTCAATAGTTTTTCATTAGGACTTCACAATGTAGGGAAAAAAATAAGGCTGAGAAATGTCAGATTCCCAGATATCAACTATTATTAAGAATTAAAAATACATTCAAGTAACAGCTGGGAGAATTTGGGAACCATTTTAAAACAAGGCAGCAATACAAATGGACTTATTTTAAACTGTTCCGACTAACATCACTCCCCCATCCCCCCCTCACCACGTAAAGCAGTTTCTGTCAGGTATTGACTCATGGTAGCAATGAAGTGCTAAGGAGACTACTTCCCACCCCCCGTGCCATAGCCTTCCTCCACTAAAGGAAAGGGTTGGGTAAACTTCTCACAGTTTCCACTACTGACCTGTTGGAGTCAAACACTGAGCTCTCAGTGTTTGAAGGAGTCCCTGGGTATGATTCAGTCTTTAGTAAGTGCCTTTTATTAGATCCCATCTGCAGTAGATTCAACTTTTTTTTCTTTTTTCAATTTGTGAAATGTGTGTGGCATCTTGGCTTAGTTCATGTGGATCCCCTCACCCTTGCTTTACTAAAGAATATAATTTTTCTCATTTCTGTTGGTTTCATGGAGAGTTTGAGTATAGATTAGTGGTTTTTTTTTTTTTAATACTTTAATCACTTGTAGAATTCAGGATAGATATCCTTTTCTTTTGGCTAGAAGAGCTCTTTACCAGATCTCTAGCTCTGTGGGGCCATTTGTAACAGCTTGTTCCAGACCAGAGATCAGTCTGCTGCAGCTCTGTTCCCCATTCAGACCCTGGTGCTGCCATATTACTTGAAGCCCAATCTCAGTTCAGCCTTCCAGCCCTTCTCTCATCCCTGAGGGCTTTCAGACGCCCACATCAGCCTGCATATGACAGATGTCTGTACACTCCGCTGTTTCCATTCTCCATACATGTCCACCCAGGGGTATGGCTTGGTGATGATCACTGCTTTGGAGCTACAAGACGGCTTGCCATCTGGAGATAAAGACAACTGTCATGTCTGTTGTTTCTTCTCAGAGGCTGGTAGAGGCGCTTGGTGAGATCAGTTATCTGAGATGAGCTGGAATGTCTGTTGAAAGTTCCTGGGGTGCAGAAAACAAGGGGGTGTGAGTTCTCACTACCCCGCCTGCCACCTGGGCTTGGCTCCAGAGGAGCTGAAATTCTCAGCATTGGAAGTGACGCCTCCGTGGCACCTTCGTGGCCTTGACAGTAAAGTTATCTTCAAATTCAGGAAATGCAACACTGAAATAAAAAAGAACTGTCAGGCACTGTACAGAAACAGACTCAAACAGAACAAGGCTATCACTTTTCAGGAAATAAGACAGATTGTGTAAGCATGTCAAAGTCAATACAGGCCATAAAGGGCTAGTGATGCAGAGCTTCAGGGATAATGTGCTTCGTAAGGCCCTTGGAGCAATTCCTTGGGATGGATATGGAAGTCAGTGGGGTCTCCCTGTGGGTTTCATAGGCTTGGGTCAGAAAGAGTCTGAGAACAGGCAAGAGCAGAGCAGTGGAGTGACTTCAATTTCAGAGGTCAGTTCCTCACAGTCTCTACATTTCAGGTCAAGTGACTGTTGTAGCTCTGGGTGGCTGAGGTGGCCTGTGAAATCCAATGCAGAAGATCAGGAAAGGTGGAGGTGAAAGGAGACAACCTTCCCTTGGAACACTTAGCAGATGGATCTTTCCACTTACTGAGAAGTAAAAGGAAGGCACGCAAGGAGCTGCATTATCTTCTGTCTTGTTTAGCAATGGAGCGACTTGTTCTTCCTTTGGAAAACAGTTGAATTTCTAGTAGGTGGAAGCAGAGACCCCACTGCTCAATTAGAAAGAAGTCCAAGAGTCTTCCTTCTTCCCAGCACCTATTGGCTTTTGTCCAGTCTGTAGATTAATTTTTCAGACTTAGTGTTAGTTCAGGTTAGATAAAGATAATGAAAGTTTCCTAATCCTCTTAAAGAAGATTTATTTGACTGAGTAGAAAGCTTTTGGAATACAATAAGGCATGTATAAAACTGAGGCCTAATCTTGCCTTTAATTTCAAACTGCTGATGGGTATTGATTTTGCAATGAGAAAAACTGAAAAATTTCCGAGCCGCAACTTGTCTGCTTAGAGAGAGAAAGAGAGAGAGAGAGAGAGAAGGGTGTTTATTTATTTTCTGTCCATTTGAGGATGCTAGAATCTCATCACTTCTGCCAACCAAGTGCCATTAGCAGAAGGGAGAGCAATCCCACAGGGTCCTGGCTTTGTTGCTCCCTGCTGCTGCAGTGTGAGGAACTCAGACATGCTCTGTCACTAACCTCGGAGCCTGTCCTTTGCTGTTTTATAAGGTGGCCTTTGCCACATATCTGATGGGATTAATTTCCAAGTTTTCTGTGAGAGAAGCTATGTTTGTTAAAAAAAAAAAAATTATCACTGATTCTCAAGACACATCTTGGCCATGGAGGAGATAATTTTAAAGCCCCATGTGACTATGTATGATATGTGACCTAGACTATGTACCTAGGTTTTAAAATCCAGAGCAAGAGAGAAATGTTGCTGTGGATTCAGATTAGTCAGATAGGAAAATCAACCTGGCAGCCCTTTATGGGATGGACTGAGTGGAGAGAAGCCTGAATAATAGGGAATATGCTACAACCATCACTGAAAAGCTGGGACTTGAGTGGGCTGTAGGTCTACCTATGGAGATGGAGAAGGTTCCTCCAGGAGATAGTGTCCAAAGGAAATTGGGAGGATTAATCTTAATTCCTTGAAAGAGGAAGGATTAAAAGGATATCACCTACATTTTTGAGTCTGGGGAAAGGTTGAAGACCTGGCTAGTAATTATGGAATTAGGATCCTGTGCCACTAGGATGGGAAAGCATTAGTCTTGCTAGGTTTAGGGATAAGGAAGGCACAGACATTACACAGGTCCTATAGAGCTAAGGTGTAACTCAGGATCAGATGAGTTATATTTGAGATTCATCATGAATCTTTTAGAAGGCGAGCAGGTAAGATTTTTGAGATCAACTCTTCCTACACAACAGCAGGGACCACAGTTTATATATCTATTCCTAGCACATAGCACGCTGTGTGGGGCATACTGGGTATTCAGCAAATGTTTAAAAAATGAATGGAGGGACAGATTGATACAGCAAATGAAATGGCAAATGAAGGCAGTGACCATAAAGCCCCTTCAAGCAAATAGGAGTGGGGAATGAGTCAAACACTGTCCAGATGACTTGGAGTGGGCACTAATTGGGAACAGTTCCCTGGAGGGATGAGGGTCTTCCGTGTGACAAGCTAAGAGATACACCAGGGATAACATGCATTTATTTAGCACTCTACAGCACCGGTCACAATCTTTGTCTCGTTTGACCCTTACAACAAGCCCTGGGAGGCTACAGTGCAGTGACTGTTCTCTTCATTTTGCAAATTAGATAACTACAGCTAATGGAGGTTAAGAGAGCAGCCAGGGCCCCCAGTGAGTAAGTAATGGAGCTGGGGCTTGAACCATGGCTGTAGGACTCTGAGATCAATGTCTCCAGTGGACTCCAACACATCCCCTCCCAACCATATCTAAGGTTAGTTCTCTAATTCAGATCCCAGGGAAATTTTCAGTTATCTTTTCTTCTTTTCCCCCCTTTCCCCTGCTACTGATATTGCATTGCAGCAGAAATTGGGGACAAAGCGCAAGAAGAAAATTAGCAGTGGGGGTGGGATGCCAGTGCTGCAATAAATGGTGTAGAGAGGCAGAGAGAGGCAAAGAAGAAGATAATTAATTTACTAGTAGCTTATCCCTCCAGGGATACACGTTTTAAATGTTACCTCTTTATCCTATGTAAGTACTAAAAACTCTGCCCCTCTGAGAATTCAATATCTAATTGTGATTCTAATTGTCATGAAGTCTTCAGGACTCTGAAACTCCATGGATATCCTTGTGTCGCCATGGCTGTTGTACTTGTCCAGGATAGACTGGCAAGAAGATAAGCTGGCTCTTTCCTCCTTGGATTTTGACATTGTCTGCCTGCTCTCTTGGCTAGTTCAGAAATCCATTTACTACCAGGTATTTCTTTTCATGGATTCGACTTCTCTTGCTCAGTCTGATTGTATGCAAATGGCTAGAAATAGTGAATTTTGTTTATTCCTCTCATCTGAGACTCTACAACAAGCTCATGCAATTTCTGTGTCTGCAAAAGACTTTGAGTCTTTGAGCCTGGAGTCCATTCAGTTTGGTACGCAACATAGAGTTTAGAAGGTGGAGAAGTCTGATCTGCCAACCAGTCCTAGATTCTGCTGAGCACCTGCATTGGGCACATAAAGCATAAACCTTAGCTCAGTTGATCCTCACACCATCCCAACAAT